CAGACCTGCTTAAACTAAATGTCCAGATGAAGCCAATGGAGCCAGTACTGGAAGCAGGTGCTCAAATTCAGCAGATGTTGACCGCAGAATGTATTGAAGATTACACTGATGCTCCTACCATGTCTGTTTCTTTTATCTATAACAATGTACCACAAAAGATAACAATGAAACTCCCACTCACCCTCAACAAGTTTTTCGAACCCACAGAAATGAATGGTGAATCCTTTTTTGCAAGATGGAAAAACTTGGGTGGTGAACAGCAGAGGGCACAAAAAATATTTAAAGCTCAGGGTGCTATTGATTTGGCAGCAACACGCACCAAGCTTGCCGGGTTTGGTATGCAGCTTCTAGATGGTATTGACCCTAACCCTGATAACTTTGTATGTGCTGGTATAGTGCACACTAGAGTGCAGCAAGTGGGGTGCCTCATGAGATTAGAACCAAATAAACAAGCTCAAATGTATAGGCTCACAGTGAGATCGAGCAAAGAGTCTGCTTCACAAGAGATATGCAATCTGCTGGCAGATCAGTTTTAATAAGGAGATTTAGTTAACAAGAAGTTAAATGATAGCATTGTTTGTTAATATAAGGGTTTGAGTTCCATTTTGGAAGTTCTGTAGGATCATACAGTGTGCTGTAATATTTTGATTAAATTTGTACTGATTCCATTTGAAATCTCTTGTGTATAGTTTTTTTTTATTTTTATTAATAGATTAGTTATAAATATTTTGTAAAAAAACAAAAGTTTTATTTTGATTGAGATGAGCAATGTACACTGATATAAATAAAAGACAACATTGTATATTTTTTAAGTTTTGTGTTAACTGAGGTAAAGATTCTTCTTATATATTTTTTTACATTTCTTTCATTTAAAGTAAATTACGTTTCGGTTACATAATACTGAAAAGTATCGAAATTGCAGATCTCTCGGATCATAGTGCATTTTGTGGTATGAAATATACCAATTATCATATTTGTATATAGGTTATGAATGTAATGAATTAAAACTAACTTAATCAATTGTGTAATGCCAGAAAATGTTTATATATTTTACAATTTTTTTACATACCAAAGTGCATGTTGTAACAATGTATAACATTTAATTGTATTCTTTCCAAACAAATGTAAATTGTTTAGTGTCTATTTACTCAATGTATTACATATTTATTGCTGATATTTAACCACTTGTAATGTGCTCAAAATGTGAAAAATCAACATTTTCAAAATTGTTATTGTAGACAATACATTAGAATTTTTTACATATATAAAATGTTATTTCTATTGTGAGAAAGTTTTTATTTAGATTTAATAACTTATTAAAGTTCATAATATATATGGATAAGTTTAATCAACAGGAAATTAACCAAGCAACAAATGTCAAAAAAACATTTAAATTTTTGGTTTCAAACTATGATGAGGAGTATCAAAAAAGTGGCTTTGGTGGTGTACCTAGATGCTAATTTTTGAACTATTATAATGATTACAGCTTTTTACTGTTATGAGATTATTTTTTCCTATAATGTTCCTGTTACTTGTTAAACCTTGAATTCAAGAGATTTATCTCAGAATTAATGTTTATTGTAACATGTTTGTCATACTTTATAACCAAAATATTGTACATATGTTAACTCTTTCATATATGTAACTGGGCATATTAGAAATGTACTCTTATTGACTTAATATTTGGCACACATCAAAGCATACATGTTACTAGGCAATTGTGTTAGAGATTTATAAAAGTGTATCATGTTCATTTTATATAGATAAAATGCGCTACAATATCGAAAAATGAAGTCAAAAGTATGTCATAAAAGCATATTTATATTATCATGAAATATATTTCATTCCATATCTATTATAAGGCTTGAGGTTATGCTTTATCTTCCATAACTCATAGGAATAAGCAAATCATTATGAATTCTATAGATACGTACTTGTGTTTTATATAGGAATCTCATATAGACAATTTGTTTAAAGCAGGCATGAAATTTATAGACATAGTTTAGATAATAGTTGCATTGAAAATTAAATGTTATTATGTCTGTAGAATGCTGAAGCTTATCTTGCATGATAGATCATAATAAGATATTAGAATCAACAAAGTAATATTAAATGTTTAAAAAAATATTTATCTCGTTTAAAAAATCTGTACAATGTTATGTGTTATGGGAAAATAGTGGAACTGAAAAAGCTTAACTTATACATGAATATTTGATGTAGCAATGTGCAGTCGCAGTTGACTGTACATTGAAGTTTTGGCGTGTTCATTGTTAGATGTTTATTCCTTGCGCTTGTATTGTACCTAATCAATTATCGTCATAAATAAATATTTAACCGAAGCATTTGTACTGATCTTTTATTTATAAATTCCATCTACATTTTAACAGAAATAAGATAGTTATAAAATGTATACAATTTAAAAAGCGCGATATGTGTATGACATGATAGGTGGAACTACCGTTGAATGAAAGCTGTGTCTAAGAATAGGACCTTTGGGACCAACGCCTAGTACCATTGCGTCATGAAGAAGAAAGAATTTAGTCAGTGTCACAGCTAGTTTGAGGATAATCCAATTTTGTGTGTAATGCTGCAATTGTAATAAAATTGTATTATCTGTGATGTACAAAAATGTTATTGGCATTTTTTTCTGGAGGCTATCGAAAATATATTACTGGACTAAACAAAAACATTAATTACAGCTTTTATCTGTATATGAACATATCGGGCGCTATCTACTGAATGAATTTGTTGGTAATTTAATACAATTGTAAAGCAATGTGCTTTATATTTAGGACATGTTTTTAAACAACTTCAAAAAGGGGAGGTTTTTTAATCAAAGCATACACTAAGTATAGTATGGGCATTACCAGACGATCTTAGTCAGTTCTAGGGACGACATCTACCAGTAATATGGTCTTATTTAGAATAGTTTATCTATTTCACAGTTGGGGACTTCCCTCTTTGCCGGTCCTAGCGACGCCTATGGAGTATAGTTATCAGAACAGTGGGTGGGGACCTAAATGAAGTAACCACAATTTCTCACATGTATTTTTATTTCTACCATATATCTCTTTGTAAATATAAAAATGATGTGGACATTATCCTTATATGTTATATTACTTTTTTTTAATTGCTTTATTCTATGTCGTTGTAAGTGTAATTGTTAATCAAACCACTCTTCAACATTCGGTGAGTTTTCCAATACATCATTTGATTCACTGTAACAATATAAAACAGTAACTTAAATGTTATTGCACCGCACAAAAGTATTGAATGATTATGATTTCGACATATGAAAAAAAAATCCTTTCTTAATTTTGTAATAAAAAAAGAACACTGAATTTCTTATAAAAAGAAAAACTAAACACTTTTTCCCACAAACCTGTCAAGTGAAGGATCATTGCTAAACATCTCGGTGGGTACAGTAGGAGGCGCCCGCTCTGGCAGGAGCTCTAGATACGACTGTCGCGACTGCAGATGTCGCTCTACTTCCTCCGGTGTCATGTGACCATCACTCGTAGACAGACCAAACCCAAGAGCTGGCGACGACTTAGACAACATTGACGCATTAGCTTGCTGCTAAAATCACAAACACAAAATGTACACACCATTACATTAGAGGTACAACACAATAAAAAACTACACAATTAAAAATCAATGTACTGCAAATAAACAAAAATAAAAAAGGGTGTACAATTGCTTTTTTAAAATTAACATACAGGATTACAGTTTTATATATCAAAATGGATAACATGTAAGGTAGGACTAGTTTTAATTGGAGCACTGCTTATGCCCAGGACCACAGTTGCAAAAAATGCAAAAGAAAAACAAAACACCATTCAATGCAAAAATAATGAAAGCTTGCAAGCCCACTGTTAAAATTATAAATATAAACCATAAATTCTTTAAGCGAATTTTATGACATACATGAAAAGTGGCGACTGGTTGCAAGCCCTAGTCCACACCCTTTAAACATCTCTTCCAACACCGTCAGGAAGAGAGTGCTGTTATTTGAACTGTATCTTGTTAAAGTAAAGCAGTTGTAAGTTTCTAAAATGCATCTAATTATGTAATAGATACTTGAGGTTATACATCTGTTAATAAATCTCTGTTAACTATATCTACTTCATTGTAACTACACATTCTCAAATCTGATAAGAAAATCAAATCCAACCGAGTCCTCTTCTTCAAACAAAAGTGTATGAACTTGGAAGTTATGTGCTACAATTTTTTTTATAACATTTCTTGTTACAATTAATTATGTATTATGTAGATATATTACATAGCATATTTATAGATATGGATTCATAACTTAGTTATCCCTTACTGAAAGACTAGTGTTTGGAGGTTTTTTTTGTACAGCTGCTCTTTTCCTTTTCATTGCATTAGCATTTTTATTTAGAGCAGATGGTGTGGATATAACTTGCTGAGTTGCTGTTGCTTCAAGTTTTTTTCTGAAATTATATATTTTAAATTTCAACATCCTCCTAACCTCTAACAATAAAAATATGGGTCTATTGAAAAAGTTGGAACCAGACCTTGTTGTTGGTGAATTTTTAAATTTAATATATTGTCTGAATCTCCAGATTTTTAAATAAACTAAAACATCCTATTAACTGCTTACCTTTTTGCAGAATCTAGATGATTGTAAGAACCATCATCAGATGACTCAGTATCGTCACTCTCTGATGTGGTGCTGTCATGTTTCTCATACTGTAATAATCTGTCCAAAAGATAGCTTCTGTCCCGAGAAACCCTAAGAAGTCTCTTTTGGCTACCTCTCAAAGCATCTTGGAAGCATTCATTCTCCTGTAATTTAATATAATAAGCTAGGTTTATAACATATTTACTATTTTTTTAGAATCAGTATATATGAATCCATATGAAAAATGGATAACAATTCTTCAGACTTTAAAAGTTAACAATTGCAAGTATGATAACATCTGCTTTAAAAGCCTTATTCATGTACATGTAATAGTTACTTACATAGATCAGGTATTTTAGTTTCTTTTTGAGTTTTAAATATTGAGCTTCATAATTTGGTTCCTGTTCGGAGTCGCTACTACTGTCACTGGAGTAATCTTTCATTTGTTCCCTAGATCGTGAAGTCTCCACAGTGCTGCTGCTGACGCTTGCCGCTTCGTTCGCTTGCATATTCGCTATAGAGCGACAATACCACCCGTCTAACATCTTCTGTTAAAACAAAAGAAAAATGTAAGAAGCCTAATCAAAACTCTATTATATTTAATGTAAATAATGCAATACCTTGGGGTAGTTTTCGGAAGCCAGTATTGATGCTAATAGGGACAAGATAAACAAGAAAATATATCTTAGATTGCGAAGAAAGATTAAATACAACATAAAATATATTAAAGAATAACAACAATAGAGTTTTTGCAATTTTGTCTTATACGCCCAGTGTTGCCAATTAAAAATTTGACCCGGCTTTGTACATTGTGTATTTTTTACATACAACCAACAGTGTGCCTTATAACTACTTAAAAAAGAAAAAAAAAACAGTTAATCCCTATTCAAGCGTTTTAAATGAAATGTTTGGATACTGTCCCTCTTTGTTTTATACAAATTTTGTTGGCTTACAACAGTGCAAAAAGTTCGTGATTCCATCAGTTTTGCGAAGTAAAACAAACTTCTCTTTCTGCGACTATATTTAACAACACATATTTTCGTTTACCGATCCTGATTGATATACTTTTTGACCCAATAGAAATTAAGAAAGTAACTTATAAATAATCAATAAAAATAGTCCGTAACTTAATGTGATAAACGTTTCCGTAACTTGAAACATCATTGATTTACAAGTGTTGTATTTGTCACCGCCAGATGCCGCTGTTAAAAAAATAAAGCATATAGTATAATTTAGAATACATTGCTTATTTTCATTCAACATAAAATTCGTTGGAATACATATGGTTCGCTGTACAGTAATAAATCTTAATTTACTATTCTATTATAATAAAAGACAATAGTGGT